TGGACTGCTGCAGTATATCCAAGGAAACATGAGAGGAGGGCTGGACAATCCACAGCCATGGCTCCTGCACCTCCCAAAATAGAATTATCTTGGCTATGACCAGCTGAAACTGTTCCTACCATTATTAAGGTAATTGCCTGCAGGAGGGGAGGAAGCCCAGTGCCTGGATTGGGCGAGGAGAGTGCAACAGCACCCATGAAGGGATACTGGGAGGGATGCAGGCAGTAATTGCTCTGCCATAACCCAGGACCCTCTATCCTTGGTAGCAGAGACACCAAATTCCCCTTTTCCTGCCCTGTGATATCACTGATGGCATAAATACCTCCCTGGGCTGCAGAGCAGTGGCACCAGCCCCATCCTCTTTCCTGTGTGGGCTGGGAGTGCTGCTGATCTGGTGCAGCATCCCTGGGACCCTCCAAGACACCGAGCGACCCAGTCCCAGCAGGCTGCTGCACCATGTTCCTCTTCTCCAAAAAACACAAGACCCCTGTCAGCACTTACACAGACTCCTACTGCCCGCCATGCTCTGTCAAGAAGACCATCCAGGACAACGTTTCACGGGAGTTCTGGAAAGAGAACAATTTTGTGACAGAGGTAAATGCCACAGGAAGAGGAAACCTTGGGATTTCTACCCCTTCCCAGCTGTGGATACTCAGTGCCAGGCAGAGAGGTGGCACTGGGACTCATGGGGTGCCTTCCTGCACGTGTGAAATGGGGTGGGGGGTTCATGCTTACTAGTAGGCAAAGTTTGACACCCCACAACGTGTGCTCACTGGCTTCTTGTCCCTGGTGCTGCACCCCATGGTGGCTTTGGGCTCACGGAGCATGCAGTCACCAGCACAAGCTCCCAGGCATCAGCCCTGCCCAAGTGTCAGAATGTGCAGGGGGCAGGATCCACTGAGGAAAGGGAGGGGAAACTGAGGCAGTGACAGGACTTAGTCCAGGGCTGCTGCTTGGCAACATGGTGACAGAGGAGGGGAGATGGGGTGTCTCTAAAAGCTGCTCCAACACACAGGTTCCAGGCTCGGCTCAGCTCCAAACTGGGGGAACTCACCATGCCAGCAGGACCCTGCAGAGGGCCAGAGGGAGACCTGAGCACCACAAAACCTCTCCCAGCCCTGGTCCTGGAGAAGAAGGCACGCCCGGGCCGTGGCCTCACTGCCAGGAATGTCTGTGGGACACCACATGTGTGTTGTGTACATGCAGCTTTACCTATGTGGACTAACAAGCGTGCAGGCTCCGATGTAAAGCAGACTGCTATCTCTTGCAACCTCATTAGCCTGTGCATTATAATGAGGGAGCCAGCAGAGGGCATGGAGAGGGATGTCACTGCTGTGCAGAGACAGAAATGGCTCATACACCCAAGGCACCCACCTGCCCTGCAAGACCCCAGTCCTCTTGGGCTTTGCCAGCCACAGGAGATTGGTTTGGTCCCCTAACTCCCTTCCCAACCTCTGCAAGCCCCATATCGGGCAGTCCCAGTGCACCCAGCCCATCTCCTACTCTGCAAAGTGACCAGGTGCCTATGGACACACTGGGTGCTGGGGAAGAGAAGCTGATGATGCCCAGCAATCCTCCATTCCCTGTGTTCAGGTGAGCAGAAAGTTTTGGGCAGGAGGGTCATGGTACTGCTATGACCCCCATGCCCACCCACTGCAAAAACAGGCTTGGTGCTCAGATCTCCAGCTCCATCCCCAGCATTAGACCTTGCCCGG